ACTAGACAATTCAGTTCTGTGCCCACCTCGTAATAAAACAAGTACCTTGGGAAGAAAAACTGCTCATTGCAATGGCTATAGTGAAAAAACAAAGCTAAAAGAAGAAAAGTTTATAGGGCAAACATAAGTGGCAATTTGGGAATTTACTGTTACAGACTTTTTAATAAGGTGAGAGACTTTTCAAGTACAATTAGGGTGTCTGCTCTAGCTTCTCCTTACATAATATCTTCCAAATGTTTAGCTTCATGCTACACACCTCTCTTCTCCCCACACAATTGTTAGAGAAGCTGTTTTCCCTATAGAAGGCTAACACTACTGAAAAAGGTTCAGATTGAAGAACCACACAGCCCACAGCCACTGTTATAGGTCCAGAGAAGCCACAGTTGTCACATTTCGCAGGATCATCCCAAATGTCATCACATGGAAAAATTAACAGAAAAACACATACCTAATGTTATTTAATGTTGCAATATTTTGTGGTCTGGTAAGAAATCTGTTTTTTGTTGCATGAATATCTCACCATCTACTTCAGGGTAATACATGAAATCAACCACAGGCCCTAAAAGAAGCCCAGAAGAGTGGATTGATGCTAACGGTTTTCCTTAAAAAAATTTTAGCTACATTAGTCATTGAGGTAAATTTGTTAAATCCATAATTTAAACTGTAGCCACTTACAACCTACAACACACCACCCCCCTACATGCCTCCCCTTGCAGAAGCAGGAGGTGGTTTTCACAGAGACAGTCTAGGAGCATACAAATGCAGAAGGGAACTTTTGCTCTCAGTATCTACTCAAATTCAAGATTGCCTATTGCCACTGTCAAACCCCATTTTCCTCAACTTCTCACAGTACTGTGTATTACTAGAGTGCACAAGTGCAATTTTAGAACAGCCATAATCCAGTTCTTCACACCAACATACCACACAAAGCAGTACTGTTAACATACATTTGACTAATTGTAGAATGGATAAGTTGTACTTCAAGCAACTTAAATAGAATCACTTGATTCTTTTAGTTTCATTGTACACTTTATGATGAAATCAGTCAACTACAGCCAGTGCAGGCACAGCATCCCTATTTACTGCTAGTAATTTGTGTTAAAGTAGTGGGCATTCAACGTAAAGCCACTCTTAAAGTGAGATGTTAGCAAATACTTTCATACCCAATTATTATAATACAGCCTTCACTAGATATTCATTTAGAAGAGTTTTTTTCCCCTTTAGAATAAGGAGGAGAGTGTGAAGTACGGAAGACCAGATACACTTGTTCTTAGCTTCCCTTTAACAATACAATTGCAACACTGGCTATGGAACAGACTGATTATATTCAGAAGTCAAGGGAACATCAGAAAAATTTAGTTATGCCTGTACTACAAATCCTTAACTCTTAGCTAGTATAAATCAAAGATCTGAGATCACTTATGTTCAGACCAGGGAATGCAGATACCACACACTGTCCCCTATTCTCTCTACCCTTTTTTCTAATCAACTGTTAAGAATTTGTGAAAATTTTTTAGTAGGTGTTCTTGTATTCACCCTTTTGTGTAAAGGTATTACCTTTTTGTGCTTAAGGAAAAAAAAAAATCTATCACCCATTAAAGTGGTTTGATGACTAAGCACAAAGGCCTCCCACCTTTAGAAACTGGGACAAGCAATTTGATAAGCATAGAGAAGGCTGGCTGAAAAATAAAGGCACCTAACTACTTGTCAGATGTCTCAAGTCACAGGCAAGCATTACAAACAATGTCTCACAGACTTGCCTGTGAACTAATGCCCTTGTCTTATATAGAAAATCACCTCTAGGTAAGACTAACACAGCACAAAAAACCCACCACATAGCACAAAGTGGGAAGTTACCATAAGAAAAACAAAGAATGAATCCCTCCAGAATCACGCTTCTCCCGAACAGAAGGACTAGAGTAATCCAAACTAGTAGAGACTGAGAGGGTACCCTCTGGGCCAACCTCTCCCTGAGGCTTAGGGAAGTGTGACAGCCCAGGAACTTTTCACTGCTGAAGTAACTTTGGCATTAAGTCATACCACTGGGAAAAGCTCAGCCCACACCACAAATGGGAACGCAGGTATATGGCATCCACTTGCTCTTGAGGTCACACTTCACACACTTCACAGTTCACTCTTCAGACCATGAGGGCAACACTGCTCATGTTGTCACAGGTGGAAATTGCTTACATATAGAAGCCTGACCATCAATGGCAGTGGGAAAAGTTATGAAAGCACTACAGCCTTAAAAAAAAGTCTATTCCCACCTCAACTTTGAGAGCACAGACCTTCTAATACATGGTTTTCATTGTCCGTGACACATCTGTACCTCAGTCCCCCCATGTATCAAAGCCAGCTCACTGTTTCCACATAAGATTCTACAGTTGCCTGCAAACAATGACAAAAATCCTCTCAAATCAGAGGTGAATAACAACCACCTCCTGTGTAAGCTCACCCTAAAACTTCTGTGAAATAGCTCCTCCTTTTCTCCCACCCTGCCTTAACCCCTACTGTAAAACAGAAGGGATAATTTCAGGATCAATTACAGCAGTTAAAAACAAAGTAAGCAGTAATGCCATGCTCCAGGCATTCACATGGACAGCTCTATTGAAGTTTTCAAAGCAACAAATGAGCCTTAGTAATTAAGGCATTCAGAGAAGATCATTTTAGTTCTCATGCTTGATGTTTCACCTCATTTACCACCCAGTATCCATACAAGTCCTAAGACACAGCACACTAACATTACTGAACATTAAATGGAAGTCACATATTTCCAGATTCAGCTAGTTTTGAGGACAGCAGCATATAGTGATATTCACTAAATGGTGCCTACAACCAATCCAGACTCAAAAATAAATAGGGAAATAGTATTAGAAGTAGGGAATATTAGCAATAGATTAAAAACTTTGAAATGCTACTATTTGCTTTGTAAACATTTACAATAAATTTGTGCAGGAGTGTTTTAGATGCTTATAGATGTCTATTAACCATTACTAAAAAAACCCATACTTTGGTAGCTGGTTGAAAAAAACATTGAGGATATTTTCCCAGCTAATGAGTTTGTTCCTAATGTTAGTCTCATGCAGGTTTAAAAAAAACTATGTGCTCTGCAGTAATGTAACTGCACAAGAGTTTAATCTTTCCTTTCCTAATTAGAAGAAACAAATTTCAAAGCTGACATGTTATTATGGGCTAAGCAAAGGTCTGGATCTTTGACCAGCACATGATCTAGATGTCAGCAATACAGGCTGAATGATTTAGTGACCCATTTTAAAGTCATAAAACTTATGATTTAGGTAAAATTGAAGCACATAGTCAACGGGGCTGAGAGCAATTCAGTTCACCTGAGATACCTACTACCTGATCCACCAAATTGCTCTCCTACCTACTGCACAAAGGCTGATGACCACCAACCTGTCAGCACTCTGACACTTACATCTAAGAACCTGTACTGAATTGCCTCCCATTATCCTGCTGTAATTATACTGGTGACTTCAGCTGGTGTAAGTGACAGAAAATCAGTAGCTATGCTCATTACTCAATCTAGATTTGTTTAAGAGCCTAAAGGTAGTATTTAGCAGGTACTTTACCCCCTTATCCAGTTATGACTGAAACAGTCTTCCTTCTTACATCCTTGTTCTACAACATTTGTATCTATTCATCCTTTGCCTGACAACAAGCTACCACAAAAATATCTTAGACTAGAAATGTTTCTAAATAACTTATTGCACAAGCCACTTATAATTCACAGGCAAGGCTAAGTGGGAACAATTTTACCATGTTAGAGTCAAGATGCAGTGGAGGAGAAAGTTATTTCAGCAAGGACAGGAACCTAAACACTAAAATCTATCAGTAAAACACTGACTTGAGACAACTGCAAACAAAGCTTTATAATACCTTATATTTTTTTAATCTTCATCTTTGTTGCAAAATTCTACTTTGATAAGTTAATACATGTAGCATTATGAACAGGCTGATTATTCAGGAAATGAAGAAACAGAACAGATTGGAAAAGCAAGAGACCACATCAAATGTTGTTCAAAGCTAGTAAGTTAAAATGGGTCCTTTTCTTTGCACATAAAAGCCAGAGTCAAGCAACCAACAGACTTAATCATAGGATTTACAATCAGTCACAGAATGAACACTTCCAAATCCTTTTAAACTACAGAAAGAACTGCAGTTTAGTCACATGCCTAGAACTAACATGAACATTCTGGAGACTTTATAAAACAAGTCTCTAAACAGCTTCAAACTCTAGCCAAGAAGTTTAAAGCAAAATATTCTTGATTTAAGGCACACACCAGAGGACTCTGCAGATTCTTCATACCTAAAACTGAATCTTGACATACATACTTATCCTTACTCAAATCCTTGAATTCCAGAAGTGTAAAATACAATGCTCTGTTAAGGACATTGCTTTTTGGTTTACTGAACAAAGAACAGCCATTTACAGAAAAGACAGTTACAAATAGAGAACATTTTGCATGCTTCTTTACATATGATGATATTCTGCCAGACTTTCCATTGTAAAGTTCTGTAGACATAAAAACATCCACATAGAAAAGTTGTAGTTAAGGTTCTATTCAGTTTTACAGATTGACCAGACCCAGTCTAGGTTATGCCATTGTTCAATGAATAAAAAAAACCCAGGAGTATTTTGCTCTCCACAGCTGGATAGAGAAGGAGACAGATGCTTAAGAACAGGAGGAGCCAGTGAGTATATTACAAGCCATAACGTGTAATGTGACCTCCCCTTGAAGAAATGAACTGAAAATAAGTCTGATCTGTGCTCAAGTACTGAAACAGTGGGTTTTAAATTTGTGGTAAAAAGTTATTCCTCTTATTCCAAGAGCTTAAAACAGTGTTTTAGACTACAAAAATCCAGAGCCAGAAGACACTGTTGAAGCTTTCTAGAACAATGACTGTTTTCCACACAGGTATAGCCCATGATAACCACAAGTATTACAAATGTAAGGAACCAAAACATTTGCATAACTTACTGTGTAAGTGATAGCTGCCAACATTCCAATCACAGTCAAGGAGCTAATGGAAAATGAAAGAGCAGTCAAGCCATCTGTAAAAAAAAAAAAGAAAAAAGAAAAGCCTGTTGAAAATTCCTACAGTATTAAGAACATGTTTTCCTGAAAGAGTTTCCTGAAGATGTTTTAAGACCATTAAAGAAAAAAAAAAAACAACTGAGACATGGTTACCAGCCACAACTCGGATGGAAAATTCACCTAGCATTGTCAGCAGCAGGTCCTTTTCCAATACTGCGGGAAACAAGACAGCCATCTTGCTTTGCTACAAGTTCACAGATGTTTCATTCAGTCAAATAGTTGAATAGCTACTAATGAACTTGTTCCCTTAGCTGCCTATTGCCTCTTCAAAACTTAGTTCTGTCCTCCACAAGGTGCTTTGGTGATTTTCACAACTGACACATGGGTTCTGGAGGATTTGTCTTTGTTTTGGTTGTTATCGCCTGATTTATTATGATAAAGCACTACCCAGAGAATCAGGCAAGCAAACCACCACACAAGCCAGACTGCAAGTTTCTGCTATGCTCAGACCACGTACATCCAGCTGTAACAACCAGAAGTAGGTCAGGACATTAAAGAGTTACTGGACCCTTACTATCACTCTAGAAATGAAAAGGGACAGTAGAAAAGCATTACCAAACTCATGCCCAAGGGCATCGAACTCCCTGAATCCTCCTGCAGAATTTCTTCACAACATGCCTGTCCCTAGTCTCATCACGCAGAACACAGGTTAGCAAGCTTCTTTGGTTAAACAGTAGAACTAGTAACTACTATGTTTCTGTTCTACTGTTTAACCAATCAACTTCATGTCTGCACCCAGTCATAACTGTGCTAATATTTAGTGTTTTCCCTATCTCCTGTCCTCCCCTTAAGTTAATTCAGGAATTTAGACCGCAATGTATTCCTACTCACACACAATTATTAGCCAGTTTCCATTCATTAGCTGGTTTCAATTCTTTTTTCCTGAGTATAGGGTCAAGCATTCACAAACTGAGAAATCTTGTTATATTTATCCTCTATGAGAAGCCACATCTTTCTTCTGATCAACCCTACAGACCTCCTTCCACAAATACCAAAAACTAATAGAATAACACAGCCAAATAAAACTTCACAGATAAAATATTTCCTTTGCTGTTTTTGCTAGGTAATACCCAACCACCTTCCCAGAGTTAAGTAATATGCCTGGGAGTTTCAAATCCTATAGTTTTGTTTAAACTTGTGAAAATGTTATCTGTGTTCTCAGGTTTAGGGCAAAAACCCACACATAAGTGACCCCTATTTCTAATATATCACACAATGTACTTAAACACTATATTTGATGATCCTCCTGTATATCTATTTGAAACCAACATTTAACATCCATTAAAAAAAGTTTAACTATGTTCAATAGAACATTAAGAAACTAACTGACTGAGAAATAGGTAATTGTATACCAGAAGCATATTATCAGGCACTGCCTCAGTGGATGAGTTTATGTTTCTTTTATAATCCCACTACGGTATGAACAGGCATACCACAAATATCCGAAATTAAAATCTTTGTATTGCATAGGTTAACAGAGGACAAAGGCAAAGGGTAAGTTAATATAAAAATAGGGTAACAGGTACAAGTAAAAATAACAGGCAAGAATTTCATCCTCATTTCTCCAGCATCTGAAACATGAAAAAAAAAAAACCCACAACTTTTGCTACAATACTAACTGGGGCTTGCTGGCTGTGCAGTAGCTCAACAAAACCCCTGGGGGGGTCTTGGCAGACAGCAAGCTAAGACAAGCCATCAGCATACCCTGGCAGCATGGAAGTTGATAAAACTCAGGATGCTGTTGAACATGAACATGCCCATCTGTTAAGGGAAAGGACCATAAAGGCAATACCATAACCAGTTCTGAGATCCCCACTACAGGCCAGACTGATAAATCTGAGCAAGCTAAGGGCAGAGCTACAGCGGTCAGAAGTCAGAGCACAGGCTGTGCAGAGAAGTTGAGGGAGCCAGGCTTGTTCAGCCTAGAACAGACACAGCTTTGGAGAGACCTAATAGAGTCTGCCTGCTTATCAAAGAGGTGGAGCCCACCTCTTCAGTGACGCACAGCAGTTGCGTGAGACAATGAGTGGCAGTGTGTATACCCACATTGAATAAGAGAAGTTTCTTTTACCATGGAATGAAAATCTCCACCATAAGGGATTTTCCCAAAAACTAAGTGAGAGAGCACCGAGCAACCCGGTCTGACACGACAGCTTCCTTCTTTGTGCAGGAGATTGAAGAAACCTCAGGTGATCTAGTCCAGTCTGAACTATCCTATGAAATTAAGAGTCACAAGAGAATGTTGGTAGAATCAGAAATCAGAACCAGACTTGCACATACCAATCCAGCATCCTAATGATGAAACCTTCCTGGAACTAAACAGTGGCTCTACTAGATTTTCATAGCAAGGACATGTACAGAGCTGAGTATTTAACTGTCAGCCATATCAAGGTAGCCTAGAAAAATTAGTTTAAATCTCAGCTCAAACACTGTCACTGCCTGTATAAATGAAAAATTAGTTTAAATCTCAGCTCACTGTCTCTGCCTGTATAAACTGCTTAAGAAGCCTTTTATTCAAAGCTGTCAGTTAGAATCTTTGTGAAGCAAGAGAAACAAACAAGCAGTCAAATCATGAAAAAGCTATGGATTTGCCCTCCCTTCCTCCTATGTTTGCAAGCACAACTTACAGCACAGTGCATATTACGATGAAAGACTCTGCAAGGATTTCCAAGGGAACTAGAAGGGCTTCTTGAAATATGCAAGTCGCAAGAGGAAGATGAAGCAAAACGTGGGTCTGCTGCTAAGTGAGGCAGGGGCCACAGGACACGGAAAAGTATCAGGTACGATTGCCACCTTTGCCTCAATCTTTACCAGCACGACCAGACTTCAGGAAACCCAAGCCCCAGAGATCAGGGGGAAAGGATGGAAGGAAGACATAACCTTCATGGAGGAGGATCAGGTTAGAGAGTGCTTAAGCAAACAGAACAGAGTTCATGATGCCTGAAGGGATACACTAAATGCTCACAGAGCTGGCAAACATTATTGAAGGGAACTTGTAGTCAGTACAAAATTCCTAGAATAATATAGAAGACAACTGAGTAAGGCTCATAGCATTATGCTGTGAAACATTCAGCCAGAAGCAATACTCTAATACATACCAAGAATGAGGCACATATATTAGAGTACTTAAGCATTTGGATTCATGTTAGTTTTGTAACTTTCAGTTGAAATTATTCTGGATACATTTGTAAAGTGACACCCAATCTGCCTTAGCTGACCTATAAAACACTTTCTTCACACCTTTGCTCTGAAAGCACACTCTGGCTAAATACATTAACTACATATACCGCAAGTTAAATACAGCTTCATGTGGTCTTGCCTTCACAACAGTTCTTTATAGCCTAGCTTAAAGTTTAACAAAGGCAAACAAAACAATTACAGAAAAAAAAATCAGTACCAGGAGAACAACGGGAAAAATTCCTAACTCCCATAGGATTCTGTCTAAATAGACAAAGCCACTAACAAACTAGTCTTACTCTTACAGTGAACAGCAATATCACATTTAATCAGGTAAGCACATAAACTGTCATACAAGATACACACTCACCATACTGAAGTTCACTGATTTTAGCGTATCCAAATAACATTTCAAAGCTGTGTTAAGCAAAGACTTCATGGAATCAAGTACCTTCCCCTCCCTACCACTAAATATCACAGGACAGAACATTGGAATCCTTGCTGTCAAATGGGGACAGTACTGAAACTGGCAGTGTCTCCTCTGTTACTCATCTGAACAGAAAGCAAACAATCTTATTGCAAAGATTTAGTGTAGGTGAGCAGTTAGTCCAGTTAGAAAACTGTCACCAGGAAAGTGAGTTTTCTTGTCCAGTCAATGATAAGCATGCCAAAGCTCAGAACAAATCTCAAACTTACGACTACTTCCAAATTCTTCAAACAGGAGCTTCACTTTCTCCCACTCCGTGGAATTCTTCTTGTTGGGAATATCCAAAGGAACAAAAGCACTGTAACAAAGAAAAGAAAGTTCTCACTTACAAGAATTAGTCTAGTATCAAAAGAATCCTACTTCCAAGTTAAACGAAATTCAATTATTCCTGTAGAAAATAAATGTATGGCTTCAGGTTTAAAAAAATTCTGAAGGCAATGTCTCATTTTATTCACATTCCCCTCCAATACTGTATTTAGATCAGCAGAGTACATGTGCAAGTGTGAGAAGAGTCAGATCTGAAGTCAATGATCAAGTGTTTTTCTATTTACCAGACCTAACAGAGGTAAGGACCCTACACTGAAGCATCATTAGGAGATGTATTATTCTTATTTGCTATCCTGGTTTGACTCATGTGCAGAGAAGCAAAAGGCTTTAAGCATCTTTTGAAACTAATTCTCTTATAAATCCACATTTTTGGAAGCGAGAATAAGATAATTAACAACTCCTACACCAAGCATTAACTCATTAAATGAGTTAACACATCCGCTGCATTCCATTCCTGTTGGCACAGTGAACAAAACTGCAGAGAAGTTCATTAAATATTTTTGACCTTCCAATAACCAAACACTAGCAAAGAGCACTCACAGGAGTATCAGGTGGAACAGTCCCCAAGCTGAAAGCTTACTGCTATCAGTCTCCCCATCTAAAGTCCAATGATAAGAGTAAGTCTTCAACATCTCCTGAGACAAAACAGCTTGTTTTCTAACTTGAGGCCATTTCCTCTTGTCCTATCACAAGAGACCAACACTCACCTCTCTGCAACCTCCTTTCAGGTAGTTGTAGAGAGTGATAAGGTCTCCCCTGAGTCTCCTGTTCTGCAGGCTAAACAACCGAGTCCCCTCAGCCACTCCTCACTTGTGCTTCACAACCTTCCCCAGCTCCATTGCCCTTCTCTGGACAAGTTCCAGCACCTACCTTGTAGTGAGGGGCCCAAAACTCAACACAGGATTCAAGGTGTGGCCCCACCAGTGCTGAAGACAGGGAGACAAGCACTGCCCTAGTCCTGCTGGCTGCACTGTTACTGATGCAGGTCAGGACACCATTGGCCCTCCTGGCCACCTGGCCCACTGCTGGCTCATATTCAGCTGGCTGTCTATCAACACTCCCATGTCCTTTTCCATTGGGCAGCTTTCCAGCCTCTTGCTCACAAGCCTGTAGCACTGCATGAGGCCACTGTGACCCAAGTGCAGGACCTAGCACTTGGCCTTGTTGAACCTCACACAGCTGGTCTCAGCCCATTGGTCCAGCCTGACCAGATCCCTCTGTAGAGCCTTCCTACACTCAGGCAGATCAACACTCCCACCCAACCTGGTGTCATCTGCAAACTCACTGAGGCTGCCCTCACTCTCCTTGTCCAGATCATTGATAAAATTAAACAGAACTGTCCCCAATACCAACCCCTGGGGAACACCACCTGGATTTAACTCCATTCACTACAACTCTTTGGTCCAGCCATCCAGCCACTATTTGACCAAGCAGAGAGTGTACCCACCCATAAGCAGCCAGTTTCTCCAGGACAATGCTGTGGGAAACAGTGTTAAAGGCTTTACTGAAGTGTAGGCAGACTACATCCACAGCTGTTCCCTCGTCCATTAAGTGTGTCACCTTGTCATAGAAGATCAAGTTAGTCAAGCAGCATTAAGTGTGTCACCTTGTCATAGATCAAGTTAGTCAAGCATAATCTGCCTTTCATAAACCCATGCTGACTGGGCTTGATCACCTGGTTGTCCTGAAGATGCCACATGATGGCACTCAAGATAATCTGCTCCATAACCTTCCCTGCCAGCAAGATCAGACTGACATGTAGTTCCCTAGATACTCCTGCTGCCTCTTCTTGTAGATAGCCATCACACTGGCTAACCTCCATCCCACTGGGACCTCCCTGGTTAGCCATGACTGCTGATAGATGATGCAAAACGGCTTGGTGAACACTTCTGCCAGCTTCCTCAGCACCCTTGAATAAGGCACAACCGGTCCCATAGACTGGTGGGTGTCTAAGGGTGTAGCAGATAGCTAACCATTTCACCTTGGATTATGGGGGCTTCATTCTGCTCCCCATAGCTATCTACCATCACAGGGGGCTGGGTATTTGGAGAACAACTGGTCTTGCTATTAATGCCTTCTTTGCCTCAGTCTAAGTACCTCAGCCTTTTCCTCAGCCTTTATCACTATCTTTTCCCCTGTATCCAGTAAAGGATGAAGATTCTACTTAGTACTCCTTCTGTTATTTATTTACAGAAACATTTTTATTGCCTTTTACAGCAGAGCCCAGATTAAGTTTTAGATGGGCTTTGGCTAGGATGAACAAGATGGACTTAGCGTGTCCAGCCATCTACAGACCTACATCCCAAAGGATCTTTAAAACACAGATCATCCACTGCACCAGCACAGCATACAGTTTAGTCCTTTTCTTCCTGCACCCTAGGCAAGAAGCAGCTTGACAAAAATCCTGGCTATTTTGCCATGTTGACTCAATGGTCAGTACAGCCATCAACAGAATGAGAAGTTTCCATGCTAAATAACTCCATTCACCTGTGATCACTCTGATGCAATACAAGTCAGTCCACTGAAAGCAAGTGAATAGAGTATAAGTGCCAGTGCAGGGTTTTACAGGTATAGCTGAGACTGAGCTAATGCAAGCAAACACAGCAGCTTAGCTTTGATGTGATATCTTACACCTAGAGTTCTGGACACAAGTGAAATTAACTGCAGTATTTTTAGGAATGGAAGAATGCTGCTATGATGTTTGAAACACATCCTGGGAATATCAGGATTAAGATCTAGATCAGTATCTAGGCTGCAGAACAAGGAAAGTAAATGCAAGACAAGCAGTTTATTACCTTTGACAGGGCTAATAACACAGGCATAGATGGGTCAGGTTTGATCCTTAAATCAGAATGCCATTAGCTGTCATCTTTAGGAAAAGAATTCCTAACATACTAGTCATTTACTTAAAGTGAGTTCTGCTGTAATATAATTTGCATAATTAATTTACAGGCTAATTAGACATATTCAAAACTTTTAAAAAGCTAATGGTTCTAGAAAATTCCAGGTGACCAGCTTAATTCCAAACACTGACAGTCAGGGAAATATTCCTTTTAAAACCAAACACTCATTAGCCTCAAAAGTAAGATATTTTAGTCAAACCAGACCACTGAATAAAGGGTGCTTTAATGTAGGTTGCAATAACTCAAGTCCCTTGACTCCAGCACATGACACTTCAAGTAAATAAACTCTATTCAAGGAAAGTAGATAATTTCTAAGAAGGGAAATGACAAGTACATGTTAGTTCAAAGTATCCCAGTACAAATTTGTCCTATACTTTCAATGATACTCTACATCAAGTTATTTATGTCCAAAGTACAAATACCATGAAAAGTGGCTGAGAGAATTTGGGGTGTTTAACTTGCAGAAAAGAAGTCTGAGGGGAGACCTTACTGATCTCTACAACTACCTCAAAGAAGGCTGGAGCAAGGTGGGTGTTGGTCTCTTCTCACAAGTGATAGGACAAGAGGAAATGGCCTCAAGGAGCACCAGGGGAGGTTGGGATTCGATATGAGGAAAAATTTCTTCATGGGAGGGGTTGTCAAGCATTGGAACAGGCTGCCCAAGGAAGTGATCCTTTTTTGAAGGAACCAAGCTATTTATTGACTTGTTTTAATTATACAGATTACTTGATAATCAAAATAAAGGTTGTCTTGATATGACACACTAGTCATTAGTTAACGGGTACAAATTGAAAGCCGGGAGGTTTAGATTAGATACCAGGAAGAAGTTCTTCACTGAGAGGGTGGTGAGGCACTGGAACAGGTTGCCCAGAGAAGTTGTGGATGCCCCATCCCTGGATGTCTTCAAGGCCAGGCTGGATGTGGCTCTGAGCAACTTGGTCTAGTGGAAGGTGGCCCTGCCCATGGCAGGGGGGTTAGAACTAGATGGTCTATAAGGTCCCTTCCACCCTTAACCATTCTATGATTCTATGATTCATGTAAGCACAAGATAAACTATTTGCTAGGAACTTACCAGGAAGTATTCTAACCCCTCTTGCTCTTGTAACCTATGTGCCAGGTATAAGCAGTACTGCAAGTCTGGTCTTCACTACCACGTTCAGCTGAGCTACTCCTTTAGAAGCTTCAGCTCCAACACGTTTTCCCTATGACACTGGGACTTCTGAGGCAGCTCTTGACCCTTGCTGTGCAGACAGTTGACTAAGACAAAAAACTTCTCCCTAATGAGCATGTACACTGAGACACTTGCTATTTTATTTATGCACACACACACAGAAGCAAAGTTCATTTTTCTTAAGCACAGTCACCTTGTTTGCTTTCTAAACCACATTCTTCAGTTTTTAGTTTCCCCTTAAAGCGGACAGACAAGAATTATGTTCTGCAGCAGCATCTTAAATAGCAAGGGTGCATTTCTGTTCTGAGGGCATTAACATGATGCTACTACTCAATCATTACTATCTTAAAATAAAGCATGCAACCTCCTACATATAATAGCAGAAAAATTATTCCAATTAGAACCTACAAATACTGAAATTCTTGCCAGTATCTAAGGGAGTCCTAGCTCCCTGCAGGAGATAATCCTGCTGTTTACATCAATGAGTTTCAAGTCTGTACCCATGGAGAAGCACTGTACAGTATCTTAGTCCCAGCCCAAGACTGGGCTTGCGAGTCACTTGGTTTGCAAGTCAATGCCACTGTCATATGGCACAGTATCAGAGGGGATAGTGGAAGCTGCAGTTAATTTACGTGTTGTGAAGACTATTTAAAGAACATGCTTAAGAGCACAGAGGACAATTAGAAGTCAAGAACCAAGTACCATCTTGCTGCAAGAGAGGAAACAAAGCTTACAGCTACTGAGGCTTCAGCTGACACCTACTAGTGATACAGCAAAATTTTCTAGCTGGGTATATTATACAGTACATTGATGTATGTCTACGATATGAGCCAACAAACAGAAGCTTTAGTAATATTTCTAGACCATGATTAAACTAACTCAAACTCCTCTAGTCTCTCACAATAGCAAATGTTACTCTTGACTGAGTGAAGATAAAACTTCTTAGAAATGTATCAAAACTAAAACCATATCCCAGTAAGCTGGTATACAATTAGAAGCATTAATTTAACTCTAGTTTCTACTTCACACTCCAGTACTTTGATGTGGATCATTTCAGCATACATTTTGTAAATTTTACCAACCTCATTGCTGCAGTCGAAATGCTAAAAAGCTTATTACACAGCATACATTAGAAATATTCAGTATTGGTGCATATCATGCTTAACGTTGATCTTAAATTGAATTTGTAATACTGCTTGGAGTTTCAGAATAACAGCACTTGCTGCAAACAAGTTACCCACTTCGGTAGTGTCTGCCTTCCAAACAAACACCAGCAAAATCCTTATACAAGGCACAACTATGTCAAGTACAACCCCACACCACACATCCTTCACAGAACACTTCTATTTAGGAAATTACATAACACCTACTCATAATCCTAAAAGCTGTTTCAGGATGTCCATGAAAGAATTTGTAGAGGCAGAAAACAGCAAGAACGCCAATATTTTACTGTTGTACACTGAGATATCAATACAGTTGTGTCATAGTCATCACATCCTGGATGGTCATTCACACTGCACAAACAGAACTTGGAACCTTGAAAGTACCTGCATTATTATGATGACCATTTTAGCTTCTAGTTGAAATCTTACTTTTCAGGTACCTAATCCTCAGAATATTTAAGATCTATTAGAAATTAAGCTAGATGTTAATTATAAAGATTGAGTGCAACATAATCTAAATTTTTAATCTTGTACAGAACAGTTCTATTTAGTATAATCTCACTTGGTCTTCAATGCAAATACTTACCCAATTAAGAGAAGAATTGCACAAATTGTGATGAATCCCAGAGTATATCTGAGTGCAGTTTTAACCTGCTGTATATTAAAGAGAAAATTAATATATTAACATAAAATAAATCCAAAGGGATTTGTCCAACAAATTACAGCAAAGCATACTTAGCATAACAGGTGTTCTACAAAAGGATCTCCACAGACAACATGAGTAGTTTTAGATATAAGTCAGAAGTATACAGTCTTGAGGAGTCTTACAGCTTAAGAACTATGAAAAATTACATTGAATTATGCTTCCATCCTAAACTATGCACTGGAGCAGCTGTGGCCAGAAGCCAGGGCACATTCATTCAGTGCAAATACACTCAAGAAAAGTCTTACTACCAATGTTTTATATTATGACTATGATTAGAAGTCTCTTATTTTAAGATACCACTCAACACAGGGGAAGCAATTACGATTAATGATTAAAAGATGCTTTAAGTATTTTCATTTGAGAAGTTAGCATCTTACTGGCATGCATTTATTGTACTCTCTGGAAATCAAACATTCAGTGCATCACAAAAACAACCAAATCTAGGTTCAGGTAAATTGCTACTTCACGAAAAAAGCAAACATTACAAGACTGAAGGTGCTCAAATTTAGGGTCTGTCTCAGAATCTGTATAATCTTCTTGTCTTCTACTTTAAAAACCTGTTCATACATGTTTTCTATGTTAAGGAAAACCTCATGGAAGAGGTTTTCACTTCCTGTATATGAAATCAGGCTCAAAAGAATTTGTAGGAAGCCTAAAGAATTTTTAGTAATACGGATGTTAATTATCACCTCATTAAAGCTTCATTTCCTGTGAGATCCCAGTGTACAGACTATGTCAGACTAAGTGTTACTAAGAGCTGCCTTGGTATTTTAAAGAACTGTAGTAATTGACTTAGAAATGCTACGAACATTGTAGCATTCAAGTTCAACAATCATTCTCGCTTTCTTTTTTACCTGTACTTGTCTTTTAACTGCTTAGTGCATTTATCAGAGAGCACTTACTGAGCATGTGTTGCCATCATCTTCTTCCTTCTCCTCGTAATAGAAGTAGACAAAGGGAATCCACAGAAAGACGCAGAACAGTATGATGGAGTACAAAGCTAGGAGAAAGAATTAAGTGAAGAGACAAAGTTACATTGGCACTTCATTTACTGCCTAGTAATTCAAAGCAAAGATTCAAACATTAGTTCCCTCTCATTCTAGCTCTTACTGATTTCAAGCACTGAAAAGTTAATAAAATTTACTAGCCAGCATATGGACTACTACTGTTTTGTGAACTCCAAAGGACTTCTAGAACTAACCCTTTCAGACTACGGATTTTAGATCCCCTTTCAATTCAGCAATAATAAAAAGACCAAAAGTAATCATCTGCATGTAGGTGATATACAGGACTCACACACTGGGGAAGAAGTGTGCTACAGGACAGTGAATAAAAGCCACCTAAAACATGTTTATATATAAGGTATATACAAAAACGTAACAAGTTTAAAGCCGCTTTGATCACTACACTTCATTTCAGTAGCTGCTCTGTTATTAATGTGTATATTGTAGCAGACGAGGTGGCCGAGTGGTGAAGGCGATGGACTGCTAATCCATTGTGCTCTGCACGCGTGGGTTTGAATCCCATCCTCGTCGGTCAGCCCAAAAGGGCAGTTTCTGTGTGTGAGCAGATCAGTGTGTGCTCCCAAGTAAACCTTTGTTTGGTGATGCGAAGGTTGGAGGCTGTCTTGGGCACAGTGACCATGAAATGATAGAAGTTTTAACCTCAATCATCATATTCGAGAAGTGGTGGTGGTCTGAAGTTCCCACTGACTGGAAAAGGGGAAACATAACCCCCCATATTAAAAAGGAAAAAAAAAAGAAAAAAAAGGACCTTGGAAACTATAGGCGAGAATGAGGAGGTGATTGGTGACAGCCAGCATGGCTTCACCAAGGGCAGATCATGCCTGACGAACATGGTGGCCTTCTACAATGGGGTCATGACCTTGGTGGATAGAGGACAGGCAACTGATGTCATCTACCTGGACTTGTGCAAAGCCTTCGACACTGTCCCGCATGACATCCTTGTCTCGAAACTGGAGAGACATGGATTTGATGGATGGACCGCTCGGTGGATAAGGAAATGGCTTGATGGCTGCACTCAGAGAGAGGTGGTCAACTTAGCGGAGACCAGTGACAAGTAGTGTTCCTCAGGGGTTGGTACTGTTCAACATCTTTGTCAGTGACAATGGATAGCGGGATCAAGTGCACCCTCAGCAAGTTTGCAAATAACACCAAGAAGTGTGGTGCAGTCAACACACTGGACCAAAGCGATGCCATCTAGAAGGACCTTGACAAGCTGGAGAGGTGGGCCACTGCCAACCTCATGGAGTTCATCAAGGCCAAGTGCAAGGTCCTGCACCTGGGTTGGGGCAATCCCAAGCACAAGTACAGGCTGGGTGGAGAGCGGATCGAGAGCAGCCCTGAGGAGAAGGACTTGGGGGTACTGGTGGATGAAAAGCTGGACATGAGCCAGCAGTGTGCGCTGGCAGCCCAGAAAGCCAACCGTATCCTGGGCTGTATCCAGAGAAGTGTGGCCAGCAGGTCGAGGGAGGGGATTCTGCCCCTCTACTCTGCTCTTGTGAGACCCCACCTGGAGTGCTGCGTCCACCTCTGGGGCCCTCAACATCAGAAGGATATAGACTGGTTGTAGCGAGTCCAGATGAGGCTAAAGATGCTCAGAGGGCTGGAGCACCTCTCTTATGAGGAAAGGCTGAGGGGGCACGGCTTG